CCCCCCCCCGTATAACGTATAACGATTTTTTGCTGTGCTCAGTGGGTGGAATAGAAGAGAAATACATCTACTCCATTTTTGTCCAGAATAAAAGCCTCCATTTAATTTTTAATATATTTTAATTCTCTGCTAAAATTCATCATGTCTTCTATTTTCTTGTATTCATCACCATTATTTTAAAGTTTCTGACTGATAACTGAGAAATCTGTAACCCCTGTGGGACTGTCCCTATTTTTCCCCTGATCTTTCATTATTTGATATTGTCTTTTGATAATAAAAGTACCTTTTGCTTGGATGCTGTATATTATAAATTTTGTAGCAATAACACTTGAGGCTTCAGATACTATCTTCCTCCAGGCCGTTTACTGCTACTTCTTGCAGGAGTTCAGGTAGGGGCTCATCAGCTTACCAGTAAGGGGTGGGACTAAGACCAGGTGGAATTGTATTTCTGTCTAAATGGGTCTGTTTCTGATGAGCCCTTACTTCTCATGTGTAGCCACTTACGTGTCCTAACTGGAAGTCTGTTGATCAGCGCCCTGTTCGATAGGCCCTGAACGCCTATTTCCCGTGACCCACCCACACTGCCTAAAGCTTCTGCTTGTTCTCTGCCTCTTGCCAGCTTCTCTGCTGCCAGGCGTCCTCTTAGTCACCACTTACGAATCAACAAGTGCCTCAAGGAGAAAACTTCACCTGAACCTGAACTCCCTTTACATCTAGACCCCATCCGTCCTTGTTACCTTAGTAGCTCTCCAATCCTTCAGTTGTGTGTTTTTTAAATCCAGCTTTTCTAATTATTCTTGATGGGAAGGTGTTTCTGTTTCAATCCAATACACTCATAGCTGGAAGGAGAACTGAATTATCTTATTTCTAATTCACCTGTAGGTTATTTTATTTTCCGCACACACAATTCTACCTACCAGTAATAACAAATGTGTGTCTCCCTTACCAATGATATGTTGTTTATATTTTCAGGGTTCGTGGCTGAGATCTCTTCTGTCAATATAGCGAAGTTTAGGTCCTGGAGTGTGGTTTCTGCTTGTTTTGGTGGGAGGGAGGAATGGGAAGTGCTCCTATTTTGCAGTTCTCATTTATCTTGCAGGACTCTAAGTTTTCCTCTTCTGTTTCTTTTCTCTTTCATCACCTAACAGTCAAGGGGTGCCTCTCCATTCTTTTTCACGGTTTTCCTTCCCCAGAAGCTATCAAAGACTGCCCCTTAAAGCAGGCCTGCTCACTTTGAAGTCCCTTCTGGAGCTTTGTGCTCTGACCTGCATGGACGTGATTTTTAGATCATTCAGACTCAAGGTGGAGTTACTCTTTCTGGCAGTAGTTTTAGACCAACTTTAGGCCCTTTTCCTGGCGTCCCTCTTCTGTCTTTCCTGCAGTTTGTTTCCGTCTGCCTGGGGCAGGCAGGCAAGAGTACATGCTGAGATTTGGTGGTTTTTCTCATTTTACTAAGTCAGTTTGATGTTTCCAGAATTCTGAGTTTAAGTTATACTGAACGTGATTTCTGTAAGTTTACTTTTCCCTTCTTGTTTTTAGCATTATTTTGTAATGAAATATCGGGAGACAGGTAGCTTAGGTTGCCGCTAATGTTTTCGGCTACGCGGACCACCTAGGCTACGCGTGCCTGGCTGGGCTCTAGACGTTTCCTACGCCCAGCCCCTTTCAGGTGTGTCCCGGGCCAGTCCTCCTGGATAGAAAGCTGTAGGTACATCCCTTCCTCTTTTGCCCTTCCAACATCCATATTCTTCAAATGAAAACTCAGCAGCCAACTCTGTATTATCTTTGCAACTATTTTTTTTTGCAAATCAAAAACTATTCCAAAATTATTTTTTAAAAATCCAGTTGTCCAGTTCAGCCATTACCATTATCAGTCCACTCCCCATCCATCCCATTCCCTGACTATCAATTCCCTAAGCATCTTTCAAGTGCAAAACAAAAAACCTCTCTGATCTTGAAAACTCTGCTAGAAACCATACAATACAGAGTGCCAATAATAATTGTAAATGTTGGAATAACTTAAAATTAATGGTGGTTCAGATC